CCCGCTCTGCCCCCGGGGTTGTGTCACGCGTGGGGTTCACGGAGCGATGTCCTCAGCGCGGGGTTTGGGGGGGTTCTGCTGCCTCCCTCCCTGAAAAGAACAAATTTCTGCAGCTTCTGCCAAAAAAAAAACCCCGAGCGAGAAGGGCCCGGGGGGGTCCGGACAGAGCGGGGGGGTCAAACTCAGTTTGTTCGGTTTTTTCCGCCAGAGCTGCGGGTTTTTACAGACTACGGGGGAAAAAAGGGGAAAAGATTTTAAAAAGGGGGAACAATTTAAAAAGGGGGTAAAAAAATGCAAAAAAAAAATAGAAAGGGGAAAAAAAATAAGGGGAAAAGCAAAGAAAACAAACCCCCCCCAAGAAGCGCGGAGGGGAGGGGAAATGGGTGGGGAAGGCGGGGGCTGCTGGCAGCAGGGTGGGGAGGTGAAAGAGCGAGGGTTGGTCCTAAAAAAATGAATTTATGAGCCCCAAAACCCTCCCCGAACCCCCCTGCAGAAAAAGGAGCAGAAAAAGGAGCAGAAAAAGGAGCAGAAAAAGGAGCAGAAAAAGGAGCAGAAAAAGGAGCAGAAAAAGGAGCAGCCTCTCGCTGCTCGGCCTTTCCCTCGGGATAAAGTGCTGGAGGAGCAATTCCAGGATTTCCATGGCTCGGGTAAAATCGGGCAGGACGAAGGGAGCTCATTGGCCGGGGAAAAGTGGAGTAGTGAAATCAAAGTGCCGGGGAAAGGTAAAAAAAAACCAAAACCAAAAACCAACAACTACAAAACAAACAAACAAACAAACGAACAAAAAACCCCAACAAAACAAAACCAAACCAAACAAACCCCCAAACCCCCCCAAAAAACCCCAACAAAACAAAACAAAAAAATCAAACAAAATAAAAAAAAAATTTAAAAAACCTCAGAAAATAAAGAATTTAGAAATTTAGACATTTCCTACATTTTAGGGATTTAGAACGAAGTTAGAAATTCCCTTTCTCCTCCAGAGCAGCAGAGAGGGAAGGGCCCTAAAGGGAGAGACCAGGGAGCAAAATCCCTTTTTTCCCTCGAGGCAGAGAATTCTCCGGAGTTCGGAAGAAGGAATAATTTGAAATTCCCTTTATCGGCCAGAGCGGCAGGCAGGGAAGAGCTCTGAAGGGAGAGACCAGGGAGCAAAATCCCTTTTTCCCTCGAGGCAGAGAACTTCTCCAGAGTGCCAAAAGTTGAATTCAACTTTTTATTTCACAAATACATTTCAATTTTCCCGGCTACCCCGGCACGGAACTCCTCCAGCGCGCTGGATTTGCTGCCGATAATTATAATTTTTTAATTTTTTTGCACTCCCCAGAGGCTCTGCCGGACAGCGGCGGCTCCAGGAGGCTCCGCAGCGCCTGCACCAACTGGCAGCTGCTGGAGCTGGAGGAGGAATTCCAGTTCAAGCAGAACGTGTGCCGGCCGCGGCGCGTGGAGATCGCGGCGCTGCCGGAGCTGAGCGAGCGGCGGGTCAAGGTGTGGGTCCAGAACCGCCGCGTGAAGCACAAGCGGCGGCGGCGGCACCGCCCGGAGCCCCCCGGGGACGGGCGCGGCGGCGGCGGCGACCCCCGGGACCCGCCCGCGGAGCGCGGAGCCAGCGCGGCGCCGGAGGGCGGCGGATCTCCGCCCGAGGGGGGGCTGGGGGGGATGGGGGGGCTGGGGGGGATCTCGGA